AAAAAAAAAAAAAAGAACATCTATGGTGGAAGTTAGAGTGGTGTTGATGTGAGGAGGCAAGATGGAGATGTTTGGAGAGAGCTCCTGGGTACATTCTCTACTCCGTCTAGGTAGTAGCTACGTGGGTGTGTATTTTCTGGAAAAATTCAATGAGCTATATGCTAATGATTTTTGTACTTTGTTGTGTGTCAAAATTTTTTAAGTTTCTTTTTTAAAAAATATAATTGCTGAGTATTTGTTCTTTCATCCAAATTTGTTGAGAACCTGTGTAATCCTGTTTTAGAACCTTCATGAATATGCAAATGAATGACATGATCATTATCCTCAAGTAGTTTACAGTTTGAAGAAAGACTTAAAACAAATGCACACTTGATGAGCTTATAGAGAAAAGGGTATAAAGGAATAAGAATTGTATGTATAATTATAAAAGTTAGTACCTCTCTTTTGAAAGTTCAAGTAGTTAAGTACAAGCTGCTTATTGTAATGAAAAGATATGTATATGTATAGATGTATTTGTAGAAAATTATATTACTTATCATATATGTCTCTATATAGAATATATGGCTTTACACAGAATACTGTTATGTAAATACAATATTCTGTTTTATTATATGATATGTATAATTTAAGTAAACATGTGAGTTTATATGCATATATGAATAGGAGGAAAGCTTTAAAGACTTCATGGAAAATATGCATTATCTTTTAATTCTATCATACAATAGAAGTGGAATAAATCTCTCTTGCTTTGGAACACAGTGAACCTAGTAATTACGAGTGCTTGAGGTCAAATACTAGCTCTAACACTTATTAGTTATGTGACTTTGAAAAACTAATCTATTTAAATCTCACTTTTTATCTGAAAAATGGTGATCATTATAACATCAATCTCATTGGATTATTATGAGATTAAATGAGATGTTGCATGTAGAGTGCTAGGCACATACATGCTAGTTGTATCACATAAGCTACTGTAGCATGAATACCTTTTCATCACAATTCTTTTTTATTTTAAAAATAATCCCTGATAACATTCTCAAAATATATTTGTTGGATGAACAAATGAAGGATACAATGCTGGCTTTATGTTTTATATAACATTCATGTGAATATTCACATGAATATTCATGAAATATTCATGAATATGAATATTCATGAAAAGTAAGAAAGGGGCAGTTCCAATGGTGGGAAATGCCCCATCCACAGGTATCAATCCTAGAAGGAGCTGTTTTGGAAGTTGGTGCCAGGTATACACTAAAAAGCATCCTTCATCTGGGTACTTAAAAGGGTTCATGATACAGCTAAAACAAGCAATGCATTTAAAAGGCAAAGAAACAAACAGCCTTTCATAATACATAATAAAAAGTCTGAAATCTCTATACAACTCAGAGTATAAAAGGATATGTTGTATCATTGCATTCTGTTTATGGGGTGAAGGAAAAAAACTGCAGTGCCTTCACTATGTTCCATTTATCAAAATTCAGACTTCCATCTCTAAAGCCCTAATGCTGGCAATAAGATCCATGTCTAATGGTTTATAGGCATATCCCCCTTAGTATTTACTAACTCTTTAAAAAGGTTTTGTAAAAGCAACTAGTAGAAATCTTTAAAAGATGTCAGTATTAAAAGCTATTATTACTAGTTGTAGTTATACCATACCACGTGTTTGAAAAACACTTCTTGTACGTTTTCTGATTGCAGTTACATCCTGTGTAAATCCTTTTCTGTGGTCCTCACCTTGGCAGTGGCGTGAGGGGAAGCACCCTTCTCCAGTAACAGCAGCGCCACCTTCTGGTTGTCATAATGAGCAGCAACATGGAGTGGGGTAAGGCCATTCTGTAAAGGGTGTGTTTAAGTTTCAGCATTAATAAATTAGCGTTAGCAGCACTGAAGCTATCAGGATGGATGGAAACTGACATAGATTAACTTCATGTTAATTAATTAATACAGTCAATACCTAATAATTTTAATATTAGGAAGCTAACTAAAATTGAAAATGATTGGTTGAGCTTACAGTTAGCAAAGAACATCTTGATGGTCATGGCAAATAAAGGCAGAAGTGACACTGCATGGGTTCTTAATACAGAGAAGGTCTGAGCCCCGTCGTGACAAGCACACACATATGAGATGAGGTACAGCACAAAACGCTTTCTGAATCAGGGCGTGCTTGACAGGTGATGGACAAACGGTGCCAGCCTATCTATTTGACATCGTTTCATCCCTTGTGTTCGTGTTCCTCTTTGAAGAGTGAGGAAAAACATCTTTACACATCTCCACATCCATCAGCTTGACGTCATTACTCAGTTAAAACACAGCACTGAAAACCTTTACCTTCCCGGCAGAATCTGCGGCAGCGCGGCGTTGCAAGAGAAGTTTTGCCACATCCAGGCTTCCATACTTGGCTGCTACGTGCAGGGGCGTAAAACCTTTCTGCGATGGGAAAAAATGAAAGTTTGTGTTTTTGCAAGTCCTAAAACACTCTGTCTTATTTTCTAACATATTAAACCAGCTATCTCCATTTGAGGAAAATGCTGGTGGCATTAAATAAACAAGGACTAGGGTAAGGCATGAAATTTAACATAAAAACCATAGCTTAGTAGATTGAACAAAAGAAATTTTAAGCATTTGGGAACTGAAATTTGACTTTATAGGCTTTGTATTTGGAAAAGCCACTAACATCAGTAAACGGGCTGCAGTTTTGGAGTGGGGGAACAAAGCCTTTCTTCTAAAATTACTGGAATTGAGAGAACAGCTGCCGTCTTTCCAATCCTCCTCCTCTTTTTTCAATACTTTTTATAACACCTGAAATCCAAATCTCTTCGTTTAACTTTTAGGCAATTCTGACAACTGTGGAAAAAGTAATTATTTGTGAATCAGTTGACCTATTAATTTCTGCAGAAATAGCAGGATAAATAGTCTACGAAACAAAGAATGCTCACCATTTAAAAGCACCTCCCATCTTGACTGTTGGCCCATTTCCCAGGAGACTCATACTGTCTAAAATACCAATTGCTTTTGTATAGTGCACTCTGTTTCTGGCATGATGTTAGGCTGATTAACACCAGACGTTTAAGCATACCAAAGCTTTAAGGTTTTTTTTTTTTAAACACTGCTGTCCTACTCATGTTTATATACACACATTCAATGTCTTTATGTGCCTAGATGATAGCTACGTTCTGTAATTAGCAGTGGGTTATAAAAACAGATAAGTCTCTGGACTGAGATCTTGAGGATGGCACAGTTCCTACACTATGATCTCAAATTTATCCTGTTGGCCAGACAGTTTAACCACATGCTCTTCTGGCACCAGGGAGGAAGTTGGAGGATTCTGACACTGACCAAGGCCTATAAAATGCACACAGCAAATATGCCTAGCATGGTTGTGCTTATCTTTGGGACATTTCAGACCTTATCACAAATACAGAATATCCCCCTAGATGCAATATTGTCCTTTCACAGTGTCACCAAATTATTTTTAATTAAGATGACTTTTTTTCCTCTTGCTTCTTTTTAAAACATGTGGTCCTAATAAGTTCTTGGAAGAGAGTGAATTTTCTGTCTTTTTCCAAGTGTGGGACAAATGCAGGAAGTTTTTCTTTTGCTAAAACTCCATTCCCTACACTTAATGCACACAATGATTGGGGTGACACTTGAGACAAATGGAATTCTTTGGGACAAATCACATGGTAAAGAGGAAAAAAACTTCTAGAGTCCTGCTGAAATAGTGATTCAATCCTTTATAAATTTGGAAACTCTTAGACAAAACTATATCAAATATTTACTGTAGAATCACAAAATCAAGGTTGGACAGTATCTCTTGAGTCACATATGTCTCTTTTGCCCCTATGTTAATCTCATCAGGATTTCATTTACCAACTACCATTTAGCTCTAGTCAAGTTGCTTTATTAGATGGCTCTGTTTAATAGTTTCTTCCATTTTACTGCCCTATTTAATTTTGGATTTAGATAAATTTTTTAATCCTAAAAATCTTTGAAGAACAAGGGACTACATTTTATTTTCCATTTCTATATTTTATTTATCATAATATTATCTGTTAAACTTTCATCAGATAAGATCAAGTCTCTTTTAGATTATACTTACTATTATAGTTATTGTTAGGTTTCTTTCTTAAAAAAAGAATTTTTTTCAATGTCTCAGATTTCAGAGCTTGAATAATTATCAATTTCTGATCTCAAAAACAGTTGTTTTTTTATAGCCATAGGGAACCAGATAAGCCTTAACAGTTACTGGACTGCTCCTACTTCCAAGAGAATATATGTCACATCACTGCCTCAGCTCATACTTGTTAACATCTTTCTCCCAGAAGGAAGTATTTGTAACTAATTATTATAGGAGCAAGTTGATATGGTCTTTCGTTTATCTGAATCACTCTTTGAAGGAAGTATTTTGCTCAGTGACAAATTCTCCTGTTTGTGACTTTTGCTTGTCTCATTTTTCTACTGTTCTGCACTAGCTGTTCTTTTTGTTTCATTAGCTGAGTGTGTTCATGTTTTTTCTAAGTCACCTGCAGATACTGAATTTCAAATAAAATGTATAAGGTGAAAGAATAATGACCTTCCCCTATTATGAAGCTTTGGATATCAGTAAAATTCTTGCTAGTGCATATTTTTTGTTCAATGTCGTAATAACTAATAAGCATATGACTTCCAGTCCAGCTGTCCCTGGACATTGTTAAATATGCTGGCAAAATGTAGTTTGTAGAGTAGAGAACGGAGACTGGAATTGGAATGGGATATCAGCTATCAGGTGATAGCTGTTATTATGATTGGGGAAATGAGATATTTAGTAAAGCAGGTTTCTATATAGTACTACAACTCTCAACAAATACAGTACTGTCATCTAATGTGATATTCTCTTCCTCATTAGTAACACCAGTTCAATGTACTTGTGAATCTTATTTTTTCTCTTGAGAATACATTATCTATTTTGTAAAGGAAAGGGAATATAAAGTAGTACTTGCTTTATGGAAATCATGTTAGTGAAGCACCACATGACAAATTGTTAAACAATAGACTGTATAGGTATTGGTGGTCCCATAAGATTACATTGTGTGGTGCCCCTGTAGAAACATTACTTTGTGTTAAGTATATTCTATGATATTTGCACAATGATAAAATTGTCAAACTATGCATTTTTCAGTACATGTCCTTGTCATTAAACAGCAAATGACTGTAAAAGATACTTGGATGAGAAGACAACACTGACATTCATTAGGAGAATAGAATCCAGAACTCCTTACTAATGGTATTATATGGAGTCTCACAACCCATTTTGATGATTTAGACAATGCATCTAAAATAGAAAAGAAGTTAGTCTCAAAGGAAAACCTACCCTTCCTAACACTATTTGGGCCGAAGGACTATGACTTAGGAATTCTCTTGGTTTATGTGGCCATGACACTATTCTCCTTACCTTGGTAGCTAAGGAGTGGGCTGCTCCTGCTTCCAGGAGGACTGATGCCACATCAACTTGGCCTTCCCGGGCAGAGATGTGCAGCGGTGTGTATCCATTTGTAGTGGCAGCATCGGGATGAGCCATATGTTGTAGAAGCAACTGGACAATTTCTGTTTTACCCAGGCGGGAAGCAATATGCAAAGGCGTCTGTTCCTCCTACAACTCAATTCAAGTAAAAAGTTAGTGCCAGGCAGACCAGACTTCACTGATGATGCATTTCACTCACAAGCTTCCTGATTTCTTCATGGAATCTTTAGGAATCCTTCTCCAAGAGGAAACCATTACGACTCTGACCATAACTTATTTTATGTTTTGCTATAGAGGCAACCTGTTGAGTCAGAAAATCTCCCTTAGAGTTTTAAAAAGTATATATTTCCGTGAATGTGATTATTGTTTTTTGGGTATCCAAAAATATTTATCAACTCATTAAGGCTTCATCCCTCACTTATGTTGAAATAAAAATTAACTCATGGTTTTGAAGAAGAAAGAAATCTGGTCCAGAAACCCTAAGACCTAGATTCTCATCCAAGAGCTTTCACTTAGGGGCAAGATTTATTCTGGGAACTGTATCAAGAGAAAAACACCAGGGATGCTGGAAAAACTCTGTTCTTACTCCACTCAGCAGGCCAAGGATACAAAGGCTGCACATTTTCTTCTAGGAGAAACCATGGATAAAGAAGATATTGTAATCCGGTTTAAAAAGCTGTTGTTCCAAGAAGCATTACAGATGGGTCTGGGACTTGCATCCAGGACTTCAAAAATAAAATGGAACTGTGGCAAGAAGCAAATGGCTGAACTATTTGCCAACTACTTTTCATCTCAAAAACAGGAGAGGATATAACTAAGTAGAAGGCACAGGAAGAATATGTTCAAGAGGGCTCAAGAAATCACTTGTATGTGGAAATAATGTTTTCAGTGTTAAGGAAACCAAGCCAAACTGTCTCTTGTAAAAAGAAAGTTGAGCCATCAGCATTGCGACATAGTAGATAAAGCTGCTGCATGCAATGCTGGCATCCCATATGGGTGCCAATTGTTATCCCAGCTGCTCCACTTCTGATCCAGCTCCCTGCTCATGCACCTGGGAATGCAGTGGAAGATGGCCCAAGTGCTTGGGCCCTTATGTTAATGTGAGAGACCCAGAAGAAGCTCCTGCCTTTAGCCTTACTGGCTGTTGCAGCCATCTGGGGGAGTGAACCATCAAATGGAAGATCTCTCTCTCTCTCTCCCTCTCTCTCTCTTTCTTTCTCTTTCTCTCTAGCTCTGACTTTCAAATCAGTAAAAGTTATCGAGGATTAAAAAAAAGTTGAATGTAATTTTAAAGATGAAAGGGATACATCTTTACAATCTTCCCTAGGACTTGTCATAATAACAGTAAGGAAGACAAAGATGGGCCGGATTCCAGGGCTAAGTATGAATGGAGAAAAGATAAGAGTATGGAAGAGCTGTCCAAATAAATGTCATATTTTAAAGTGTAAAAATAGAAATTTATAAGTTATAGGAAGAGATAAAGTGGCATTGCATGATTTCAGAGTGGTAATAAATAAGTACTAAGTAATAGTATTCTATTTTAATAATAGAACTGAATTTTATAAAAATTTGCTATTTGTAAACTTCCTTCATGTATGTGTGTACATAAGCTTATCCTTATAAAAGACCAAAAGGAAAGGCATAAAATGAATTATTAGACCAGTCTCTAGAAGAAGAGTTTACTAGGAACTAAATGAGTTCTCAAGGATTGTCTAAGGTCCATAAGACATTAAAACAGGACTTGAATTCAGGCATTGGGTTCTAAAGACAATATTTATTTTTTACTGTGTATTTTATTGAATATAGACTAAGAGGGTCACAAAGAAAACTAACAGGACAAGGTGATTCTCCATAGGAAAGGAGACTGACAACAGGTTAGGAGATGCAACTTTCTTTGAAACAGGAGAAATTGCAGGAATGGAGAGAATGAACAGTTAAAAAATAGTTAGCAAAAGCAACAACTAAAGATCAAGGAGTTGGAGGACAGCTAGAGCGAACAGCTGCTGCTGCTGGCTTTCCCTTCACCAGCCTCTGCCTGGCCGAGTTTGACAGAGGTGGATGTTGAAAGTGACACACTTTTGGGGAGGGGGGGCACTGTGGCGCAGTAGGTTAATCCTCCGCTTGTGGTGCTGGCATTCCATATGGGCGCCGGTTCTAGTCCCGGCTGCCCCTCTTCCAATTCAGCTCTCTGCTGTGGGCTGGGAAGGCAGTGGAAGATGGCCCAGGTGCTTGAGCCCCTGCAACCGCGTGGGAGACCAGGAAGAAGCACCTGGCTCCTGGCTTTGGATCAGCGTAGCTCCGGCTATTGAGGCAGTCTGGGGAGTGAACCAACAGAAGGAAGACTTTCTTTCTGTCTCTCCCTCTCACTGTCTGTAACCTTACCTCTCAAATAAATAAATAAAATCTAAAAAAAAAAAAAAAGACACTCTAAAATGTGTTTTTCAGTGAGTAGCAGGGCGAGTCACGGTGATAATGATTTTTGGATCTATAGCTGAGCAGTGGCAATCCTTGAGTGGGGGTGGCTCTGTACCTAGGTAAGTTTTCATTCATTGTTCTTTGTTCTTCACACCATGATGTATTAAGATATTTTTGAAAAATGTATTTATTTATTTGAAAGGCAGAGTGACAGAGAGAGAGGGAGAGGCAGGGGAAGGGTGTGAAACCTTCCATCCACTGGTTTACCCCCCAAATGTCCACAACAGCCAGGGCTAGGCCAAGTCAAAGTCAGAAACCAAAAACTCCATCTGGGTCTCCCATATTGGTGGCAGGAAACCAAGAACTTGGGCCTTTATCCACTGCCTCCTGGGTACATAGCAAGAATCAGGATTGGCAGCACAGAGTAGCAGGGACTTGAATGAACACTCCAGTATAGGATGTGGTTTAGCCTACTGTTCTACAAGGCTCAACCCTAATATTTGGTTTAAGAAAAGTTAAGGAATAAGCCGACTTACCCAGATTTATTCAATTTTTGATCTGGTCCTATCTCAAAATTGGAAAAGAAAGAACATTCACATTTTGCTAAGAAAATCTTTCAACTTATCAAAGACAGAGGATCTTTTCAGGTTACAGCAGTTATTTCTCTGCTGAATTGAAGAAGTTGGATCTGCTGCCTCAGGCTAAGGTTAATGCAGAGAACTGGGAAGGTGCAGAAGCTAAGATTTATAGGGAGAGGTAAAGAATTGGGGTTGGGGGAGAGGGAGAGTCTAATTCCCTAAACCTCTTCTTAATATGAGAGGTGGTGATTCCTAAAACATCAGTGACTGTGACACACCCTGAACCAGGTAGTAGATGAGTTTTGTCTTCCTTCACAGCCTACTGCTTTACAATGCTCCATGGCAACAATTAGGGAGAGTTGCTGAGCCCCCAATTACTTTTACAAAGAGAAAGAAAGAGCAATAGTTGGACAAAAGTTCATACCTTTAATGAAATCTCTGCTGTTTTTTTTTTTTTTTTCTAACTAACAGGGTTCCCAGGAACTAGTTTATGCCAGCTAACTAAATTTTTAAGTAAGTTTCAAGGGAATTTAAGTCTACGAACCCCATGATTGTTCAATCCCTAAAGCAAATGCCAAGCCCTTTAATTGTGCCAACAGAAGTTCATAAAGCAAAAGAATTCTCAAATGGGCAAGTCTTGGTGACTTTTTGTTAAATCACTGAGGACATTAGACAAGGGAGTAACATACTGAGAAGAGGGCCTGAGAACAAACACATTGGCCAACTAAAAACTTAGGCCTCTGCATACCCTGCTCACCAGTCTGTCCAGCAAAGTATATCTAATGCTCTGGTAAAAGCAGTATTACTGTTTGCATTCTTATAATAGATGTATTATTGTGATTATGTGGGATATTTTGTTATATATTAAGAGTAAGCAAAAATATGATTGAGCCCTATGATTATATGAGGGAACTTCAAAAAGTTCATACAAGTTAACTGTGATACTTGTTCTCAAAGAGATTTGTGTGTGTGTGTGTGTGTGTGCAAATTGTCAAAATCTTTACTTAGTATAGAGTTGGTCTTCTGTGTAAAAAGTTAATTGAAAATGAATCTTAATGGAGAATGGGACTGGGAAAAGGAGAGGGAAGAGGAGTAGGGGTGGGAGAGTGGGTATGGTGGGAAGAATAAATATACTACTAAAGTTGTACATATGTAATTTGTATTCCTAAAAAATAAATTAGTTAATTTTTAAAAAGTTTATACAAATGTGCATTTTCTTTTAAAATTATTAATTTTATTTAATTGAGAGGTATAGAGTCAGGGCAGGGGTAAGGCAATGAGCTCTCATCTGCTGGTTCACTCCCCAAAAGACCTTAACAGCCAGGCCAAAGCCAGATACTGGGAAATCAACCCAGGCCTCCCACATGGGTGGCAGGGACCCAAGTACTTCAGTTTCCCAGAGTGCATATTAGTAGGAAACTGGAACTGGAGCAGAACTGGGTCTCAAAGCCAGTACTCCTATGTAGGATGTGGCAGCTCAGCCTGAGTCTTAAGTGGTAGGCTAAATACCTGCCCCAATATTATCTTTTTTCTATCACCTTTCTATGAATGTTTTGAAATTGAAATATATAACCATGGAGTATTACTTCTAAACTTATTGAAAACAATATAGACTACCTAGAGATCTTGACCTTGGAGCTCAATGTAGTAACTGGGTATAATTTATGTCTTTCTCCCCTTTGGGACAGGGTGAGTTCTAGAGCAATGGTGCTAGGTTAAGAGAGGAAGTGTTTGAAAGCGTGTTTGTCTGTATGTTGGCCCCTAAGAAGTAAAACAGATACATGTCTGTTTTTCAGCCCAATATACCCAACATCTTTCTTCTGGGAAGTACACTGCACACTCCAACAGGCTGTAGAGAGACTGCCAATCATCTTACAGATGGGCTACATGAATGGGCATGAGCCTAAGCTTGATTTTATGTACTGGTCAGACTCATTAGGCCAGAGATGGCACATCACGGATTAGACACCAGTGCTTGGTTTGGATAGAAGAGAGAAGTCTCTTTTTACCTTAGACATGGGTGGTGATGATGTCAGTAGAGAGAGGAGAAAGATACAGAACAACAGAAAGAATCCTTTTTCTTACCCTAACTCTGTGGCTACAAGCAAACAGCATAATTTTGAATTTTGGGCCCCTAATACAACATGCAACACAAGGTTTCTCTGTATATCAAACAAGATAATTTGTGTTAAAAAGCTTCATGAATCTTAAAGTTCTGTGCACATGTGAACTGAATCAAAGAGGTCCAAGGAGACATTAAAAGATTAAATGAAAATCGAAAACAAATGTTTATAGTACATCTGAAAGTAGAACATGTGGAAAGGAAAATCCTAGCTCCTTGATGCTCAATGTAGAATCCCAGGGCCAGAAGCACTGACAGCACTTGAGAGCTTGTTAGAAACCCAGAGGAGCTGAGTGCTCACATTTTAACAGGGTGCCAGGTGATTTTTATGCACATTGACCTTTGGGGAGCACTGCTTTACAAGGTTATACTTTTCCTGTTCTCAAGAGAAGGATGCTATCAGGAAAGGATTTCAGGGTGGAAGGCAGAGCTGAAAAGACAAAATAAACAGAAGATACCATACAAAATTTGATATTTAAATTATGAAGAATAAAGAATTAAGAGATGTTCATAAAAGTATATGTAGACTATGAGACTAAATGTAGTTGCAAAAGAGAAATTTAAAAAAATTGTTTGAAATCTGCTTGTAAAATACATAAATATATACATAAACACATAGTTACAATATTTCAAAGGACAGAGACTGGGACCAGCATTGTGACAAACAGGTTAATCATCTGCCTGTTATGCCGGCAACCCATATGGGTGCCAGTTTGGGACATGGCAGCTCCACTTTAGATACCACTCCCTGTTAATGTGCATGGGAAGGTAGTGGAAGATGGCCCAAGTGCTTGGGCCCCTGCATCTATGTGGGAGACCCAGAAGAAGCTCCTGGCTCCTGGCTTTGGCCTGATCCAGCCCTGGCCATTGTGGCCATTTGGGTAGTGAACCAGAGGATGGAAGATCTCTCCCTCTCTCTCTCTCTCTTTCTGTGTCTCCTCCTCTCTAACTCTACCTTGCAAATAAATTTAAACAATAAATCTTTCTTTTTTTTTTAAAAAAAAGAGCTAGTCATTTGTTTTTAAAGACAGTGTTTAAGTCGGTACACAAGGTGCAAAGTGTAAGAGGTTAAATTAATATAGAAACATTGGCAGAGATCATGGAAGTGAGTACATTTCCATTAAAACAGAATAAGCTAAAATTTGAATATTCCAGGGTTTTATTTTTAAGAGACAAACTGGAAATCCTTTTATTATTAAATATGGATTACAAAAGAAATTAACCAGGAAAATTACCACAATTTCTGGTAAAAATAGAGTTCATGTGTTCAGACTACACTGGTTGACTACAGGAGTATTTAAAATATAGTTGAATGCTAGGTAAGCTTAAAAAGAAATCATAACAGTGTCACATCAGGGGAGAATAGAGTTGAATAACAAAAGCCCTAGATACATAAAAACATAATATACTCATGATTATCAAACAATATGTATAATACTCCTTGTACAATAGATAAAAGGACAGAAAACAACTAAAACAAGAACAATGTCAATGCTGCCCAGGTATCACTGAATCTTCCCTGGACATCTGTAGAGCCTATTATATGAAAATGCCAGTCAAATTCATTGAGTCAGAGAATGTTAAGAAATTCCAATGAGGAAGTTTTTCTTTAAATTATTTTTTAACATTTATTTCAGAGGCATAGAGCTAGAGCTAGAGCTAGAGACAGAGATGAGAGAGAGAGAGAGAGAGAGAGAGAGATGGACAGAGTTAGAGATTCCATTTACTGGTTCACTCCCCAACATGCTCACAAAGACCATGTCTGGGCTGGGGCTGAAGCCAGTACCCCCAAACTCAGTCCAGGTCTAACACATAGGTGACAGGAATCTCACTACTTGAGTCATCATCTGGTGTGTCTCAAGAGATATATTAGCTGGAATCTGGGATCAGGAGTCAGAGTTGGGTATTGAATTCAGGTACTTTGATATAGGATGAAAGAATCTTAACAGGCAACTTAACAGCTGAGCCAAATGCCTTCTCCTGGAGAGGGATTTTGAAGTTTTCAAATTCAGTTCTTACATTTTAATGAGAAAGGCCTGGAAATGAACTGACGTTCAGAAAATCAATAAAGGTTGTATGACTCCGACCAGATGGATGCATTCCCATATATGCATTTCTCTAATGAAGTTATAATGTACAACTCAAGTTGAGGAGCTCTGACTTAGCTTAAGTATGTCAAATATTGAAGACAGAGAGAAGTGTTTAAATAGTTCGTAAGACTTTCCAATGATGTTAGTGCAAAAGTCAATGGAACAACGTAGAAAGCAAAATAGAACATACAGTACATTAAGAGTCCTTACTGGAGTATTCATTGTAAAGCAAGGAGATGAGAAAAGAAATTGGCAAGTGAAATGACAAAGAAAAGGAAAGAAAATTCGATCTGTGAGGGAATTAAAATAGAGCAAGACTGATCAAGCACTCGCCAGTAACCAAATACTTCTATTTGGAAGAGTGCATTGCACAGTGTCTAAATTCATCAAATCAGAGTAGGAAGAAAGGGACACCTCATTTTAAAAGGAGGAAGGTGAAGCAGATCAAGGGAAAACATTGAAACTTGCAGTATAATTTGTTTTTAAGAAATTAGTAAGGAATGACTGGAAATTTTTTGGCTTTGTTGGTAAGAAATGAATTTCACATGTATATAGCATCTATCTTATATAGGTAAAATTTTAAAATTCATGAAAATAAAGAGGTTAAAAATGAAAATGTTACCATTGCTATATTTCTTAGATAATAAATTATACAATTTCTTCTTATGTCAATAGTTCTGAAATTTGGATCCATTTTTCATTATGTGTATTTATTTATATAGTGATGCTTTAGTGCCTGAAAAACTGTTATTGAGTTTATATGAGTATAGTCCATGGCATTTGCAAATCAAGGACCTTAAAAGTCACACCTTCTCCTACAGATAGGATTCATGCACTGTACTGAAGGAGAACCTCGGAGCACCCACACCTACCCTGGCTCTGGCATCAACAAGGGCACCATTTCTCAGGAGGCATCGGACCACTTCCACCTGGCCTGCCCGGGCTGCCATGTGCAGTGCCGTCTCCCCGCGCTGCCAGGAAACAAAGATCATCCAATCATAAATAAACCCACTGCTCTGCATGAGAAGAATACAGATGTCCCTTCTTGTGAAATTCAGCAATACATCCAAGGATTTAAGTCTATGAAAAGGCATAATTATTTAGTCTGGTAGTTTTATATCTTAAACATCTTCATATGGATAAGACAAGTGTTTGTTTTATTTTTTGCGGTCCATTACAACTAGTGAACTTACCCAAGCATCCACGATACCCTGAAGTGTAATTTCAGAATGAAACTTCCATAACCTAGACCGGTTTTGATGATGAACTCCTTTTATCCTATGAACCCAAAATCTGTCATTGTCCCACTTAACTAGGTGATCACAATTTGATCCCCTTTTAGTGAGAAAATCAAGAGGCTGAAGATCAAATCAACACATGGCGAAATGTCATATAGTTTCTTTCCAAAATTCAAAATTTTTGTCTGAAATAAACTATTATTTTATAAATCAGTTTTGTCTTTTGGTTATGAGACTAGACAATGACTAGTCATATAAGAAATCTGATTTGCTCAGGAGTCACCTGCTTCATGTTAATGAGCGTATTGAATTACAGGCAGTTGCTGGAGACAGCTAATGAGAGACGAGTAAAGGAACTGTTAACAGTGCCATCTGGTGAGGTAAGCAGCCCTGGGCACCACATCATTCCCCAAGCATCTTCGTGCCACATCAAAGTATGGTGCACTTATCAGAAATGGGGGCTAGAGCTGCAGGATGAAAGATGAGGATTAGATATAAGAGAATTTCTCACTGGGAAGCCTCTTACAACTACCTCTAAGAGAAAGGGTTTTAAAGTTAGCATATTTTAAAGCCATAAATAGTTCTGAAGAAGGCAGGAGATCCTTCCTTTAAATAATTATATAGTTATAGCAGAACAAGACACTAGAGTAAAAATGATTATAGATTAATTCATCACAACTATTTTAGAAAACAAAGCTGATTTCGGTCAAGTAAAGTAAACCATTCTAAATAAGGTCATTCAAGTTAGCTATGGAACTGAATATGCCATATATGCTATATATGAATATGAATAATTTCTTCCAATTCCTTGCATAATAAACCCTATATCTAGAAACTTTCAGGTGAACTTTAATTTAGTATATAACTCACACTTCATTTCAGTATTCAGGATCCACTCTTTTTGAAATTATGAGAAATTAATGTGAAATGATTTATTAAAGAATTAAACTGGATGCCTAACTTTCTCTTCTTTGTTGATGATTCATTTATCCTCTAACAGCCTTATTTTTTGAGGACAAATTTTAGTTTTTATAAAGTAAATGTATCTGGATTATGTTGTTTTAAAAGGTGAAATTTGAATAACAATATTTCTTATCAAACTTTAGATGTATAGCAAGATTTTTCTTCTTTGCTAACCATTATTTCTAACTTGTTATCTATATCACTTAAAAACCATCTTTAAAGAGATGAGATTAAAGTCTACTAACCATTTTTAGAAAAACAACTCAAATGCTTATTTCTAGGTCTGACTTTGGTTTAAATAAAAGCAAGAATTAATTTCTTTGTAGAAAGTTAAGTCAAAGAGGCCCACAAGTTCCTACTGCTTGATGGATGTACATGTTTATTTTACGAGCCAATCTTTATCAATAAGGGATTTCAAAAATCTAGAAATGTTTTCAATATTAGTCTTAATATCTTCAGAACTCTTCTTGTATACTTAAATTAAGTTACTTTATGTTTTTTACACAATTGAAATAGATGCGTTAGAAATAAGTCTAGAGTATTAAACTTCATACTCAAAGAAAAGGAACATATGTACACACACATGGTTTCTCTACTTTATAACAAGGGTCTTCTTTAATTATTATTTAATGACTCCCATGTAATGGACTTGTATTGGAATTGCCCTTTCCCTTTTATATTTATATTAATATAAGTATAAATAACAATTTCCATTTTTTTATTGTTAGGCACCCTCTCATTTCTAAAATTGTTTGGTTTTCTACTCCATGGTTGTCAGTGAATACTTTGGAATATGGATGTAGAGTAACTGGCAGTTCAGCTTTCTAGATTTCGAAATGCATTTGTAAGCTTTCTTGGAAAAATAGTTTTCAGTAAAATCGTCTGCACATGATTGAGTTGTTGACACACCTCACATTTGGAGTGTATTTTCAGACAAAACGAGACTGGCAAGAGAATGTGTAGGCTCATGTCCAAAGCAGTTACCAAATGTCATGCCCTTTCCTCAGTTGTTAAAACTGAGGACAGCTGCCTTGACTTCCACTTTGGCCACATCAGGTTGGAAAGCGTCAAAGCACAACAGACAGCATTGCATTCAAAAAATGCAGGATGATTTCAGGCAACACACAAAGGCTCCAAGGGTGGGGTACTTTGGAGTCAGCAAATGACCAATTGCGACACAGCAAGCAGGCAATCGGTTTTCACACAGTTTCTTGCAAAGACTTTGAGATCCAGTAGCTATATCCTCAGGTTCTGAGAAAACACCAGTTCACAGGCATCTCATTGCTAGAGAAAGTTACATTCCTCTAAATGTAGGATTGCCAGATTTAACAAATAAAAATCCACGATGGCCAGTTAAATTTTAATTCCAGACAATGAATAATTTCAACTGTTGCATGGGACATACTTAGAAGAATGATTGCTTATTGTGGTGGGGAGGGACCTGCATTTTATCTGGCAGTCCTATCTATAGGTAGGTATCTACTCCCTGAAGGATGCCTCTTACAAAAGTTTAAAAAAAAATAACTAGGAAACATGTTGGGGACAGGATTATATTGACAAGTGCTTCTCAAATATTTTTTGAGGGAGCTGAAGGGAAAGAGAATGTAATTGACAAATGAACAGATAAAACAAAATGAAGAACTTTAGAATGGCCAACAGTTGGAAGTTAAAGTTTACTACAATTGCCAGTTTGGAGAGTTTTTAAGATCCTGAAAGGACATAAAATTTTTTGTGTTGCAATTCACATTTTATTTATTTTTATCTGAAAATATACATGCAGCCTTTATAGCATTTTTTTTGCAAAGATATTGTAACTCCTTAAGTCACCAAAAGATCTGGAATTGATCAGTTTAGGAGCAAATTAAGAGTAGCCACAGAAAGTAACTACAGAATCCCACAACCGTTTTATTTGGATTATTCTTTAATAATTTTGCAAAAAAAAATCCTATAAAAGATAATCTAAGGGATCACAATCAAGCAACCTGCAGAATATATTTATATGTATGTATTATTATAATAGGATTACATAATTTATCATGGTCTCACCATAGTTCTTATAAGGCATTGGAATGCAAATGTGAACATGCAGTAAGTTAGGCCAATGTTCAGGGGATTTTGCCTATTTAGCCTACAAATCTGCTCAGGTCTCTATTCTAAAAATGACAATGGTTATTGCTTTGAACAAAGATGGCATTACTTTTAATGCCTAAGAAGTAACTAGAAATTAAATTCAAACTGGCATATGAAATTACTGTTAAGATCAACAGATAATATTACTTTAAGACCAAAAGCTATGATTAGAAAACATATATGCATAATATACAAATACATATTTAGAGACTTTAAATTCTTTATTGGCTTTATGCTCCAATTATTGAATAATATGAAAAAAGTATTAACAGGTATTAAAATCAAATCAAGTTATTTCCACAATGGACATTGCCCAAGCTCAAAAACTGCAGCCCAGCAACAGTGTGTAAAATACAGCAACATGAGGAGAGGGAATACAAATAAAAAGTGAAAATTTATGTCTTGTTTCACAATTTAAATGGATAAAGGCACTAAAAACTAGCAACAGTAGTCCATCTATTGCTTTAGAAAATGAGATTCATTTGAAAAATAAGCACTGACATCTCTTTGGGAAGAGTTGTCTGTTGTACATGTTTTTAAAAATCTGTATTCAGTCCCTTCCTAAGCTTCAAATACATGACTTTCCTTCGTGCAGAGGGGTTCTCCTGCTCATGAGATGTGTGCCATGATCCAGTGGTCAAACACAGTTTAAAAGGGCACAATCCAAGAAACTGAGAAATATAAACAATTGAGTTGTACAGTTCCCGGATTGGATCAGGTAAAAGAATTCTGGGCTGTCTAGTGTCTGTTGGTAGAACGAAAGTTGTCTGGAGACCCACACCCATTTCAGGATGCAGGTATAATCAGAGTTACCTCTGCAGGTAACAGAGGCTGCCTCTCCAACCAGCACAATCAAACCAAACTTAAAAATCAAAGTAGGGTTAGAAAATGGAAACTCCAACTAACTGAAAGGAAGGGGAATTTGATACCAAGTAAAAATTCCTAATATTGATCTATCTATGGTTAATCTTTTGATGGGATTGATTATGGAATGGAGTTGGTATTTTGATGAAAATTTCCTGGAATACAAATCATTCAGCCCACTAGGGTGAGCCCTGAAGATTTTATTGCAGGCAGTCAGCCATTTACTTTCAATGGAGCCTTAAAAATGTATTTTGTTTTGATAAATGCAATTCAGATGCATGTTTCATCCAACTGCACAGGAAGGTTAAGCTGTCTCATTCCTCAGCTTCTATTTTATTTCCTAACACATTTCTCCCTCTGTGGAGGTTCTTTTCAGCGAAGCTGTCGCAATCATTCTAGGGCTATGTTCTCCCGAGGGCCCTTGCTAGCTTTGATGACACACACACCAACACACCTACACACACCCACACTCTACTGCTCTCGCTCTTTCTCCCTGCGGTTATTCTGACCCAAGCCATACTCACAATGTTAGTGACATCTGGAGAGGCTCCGTTCTGCAGCAGAAGGAGGACAATGTTCAAGTGGCCCATGAAGGCAGCCACATGTATTGGTGTGAGGCCAGACTGCGAAACAAAGCAACAGTAGTTTTACTCCTCTGCACTGGCGGGGCTTTGGGGCTTCTTCAGGTGAAAAAACTCAAGTGAAGAGGACAGGAGGTGGACAAAAGGAAGGGGAGGAAGGACTAAGAGAAGGATTGTTTCGTGACAAGCTGAAACATGTTCTACCTCTGTTATAGCTTGGATTGAAGCCCCATATTTCACCAGCAGTTCCATGACTTTGATGCGGTTTTTCTTGCAGGCAATGTGCAGTGGAGTAAAACCATTCTGTGCAAAAGACAACTGAGTTAGTGGAGAACATGCAGAAACGATTCTCACGCAACTCCATGCTGGCACATTGCAGGCAATAATGTTACATCTTCACGGAGTGGTACCATTTCTTCAAACCCTGGAGGTGTCGGAATTTGGGAAGAAAAGGTGTGTTCTGTAGGCAGCCAGCTTTGCTTCTTTGTGGTGGGCCTGTACATGATTCTGTTTGTGTGATTACAGAGAAAACAAAACTGAAGGAAGTTATATGGGCTTCCTCTTCAAAGAAGAAGAAATACAGGAGAGACTCTATTTCAGAAGTGCTAGATGTCAAGGGATACTGACTCGTCAGGTGTGAAATGATGTGAAGATGCCCCAAAGATGTGTGTATTTTTCTGATGAAGGTCTGTTTCTCAGGATGTGTTTACTGAATTTACTTCAAAAATCTAGAGTATGACAGCCTCTATGATAAATTCCTCAGAGTCGCTACCATTTTCATTAAGAGGTATTAGCGGAAGTCCTTATTTATGTTCATAAATATTTATATCCAGAGTTATATTTTTCATGTTAAAAGTTTGTGTAATACATATACCAATCAGATAAATTTTCTTTTATAAGGAAATTATATAGTGTCACAATATTTTAAAGAAAAGTACAGAGAATTTCTGGGATAATTGGAAGAAAATCATTCTTAGTAGCACAGGACTGTGGAATGGAGCCTGTAAGGTATTTTCTGATTTTGCAAAACTACTTATGTCCTAGCTTTACAGAAATTATGGGAAAAATTTGTTAACCAGTTCCATGCTTAATTATGTATTTTATTTGTAATCTTTTTATTTGAACAATAGCCCTTTGTTAAATTATAGCTATTCTTCCAATAAACACCTTTGCCTGTCCCAATGGGGTATGATCATCAGTCAATATTTTTATATACTAGCGGTTATCAGGAAATCATATGATCTCACTAGAGCTAATAACTTCTTATTCACAATGGAATGATAAGCATAATTAATCTGTTAAATAATTTCCCCTATACATAAACAATCTAATAAGTCAGATATAGTCACATATCCATATAGCACTTAAAATTTGCAATTATTAGATTATGATAGTTTGTAAACTAATTGACCAGTATCTGAGTGAGAATCAGTATCTTCAACTCCCTATGAGAAAATTAATTTCCTCACACAATTGCATATAACACTGAAAGAATATTTGCTTTCTAGCTAATTCTTATTAAATTGATTCCAATAGAAAATTTCTAATAAGGATAATATTTAATAACTGAAGAGTTAATGTATTCTCTCAACTTAAATGCTAATTGTCTAGAGACGAATTTTATCTGACATAAACCATGTTAACACTTAGAAAAAAGTATTTGCTTTTAGTTTGAGAATTAGAAATCAAGAGGCATAAATTAGCACATATCCAAACCTTCCAATGATTATGGTTAGAATATGAGTGAAGCAAGGAAGACTTATTCAGTATTAGACTTTGGGAGATGCAGCAGCTACTCTGGGAAAAGCCTCTAGCAGTTTTCTTTTGAGCAGTTCCTGCAATGGTTTATTTACAAGGCTTTCTAAAGCAATAATACACCAGCATCACTCTTTTATTTGTGTATAGTTGGGTAGTCAGGTCCATAAGGAAAAATCTCCTGGTGAACTCTTCAGAAGCCTACATTTTATACTACCTTATATAGCCAAATATATTTACCATTTCAAAACAATTTTTTTCCCAAAAAGAGATTAATAAAGTGAATTTTTTGATACCAGTATTCTGACTCTACTTGGAAGTAGGTATCTAATACTTGTTGTATAATTTGTTATTTTTCAAATTCTGTTTTTGATTTAAAATTGCTTATCACTTGAAAGATATCATACCTACCTGTTTGCAACTTCTTAGTTTCAGAAATGTTATGTTGGTATTCTCTAAAACCTATGATTGCTCAATCACTGTTTAATAGCAAACTATTAAAGCATGAAGTAGACAGACAACCAACTTGTCAGGGTTATAAATTTAGCAGGATCTATAACCATGCATTGGTGAGGTAGGCACCAGTGGTCAAAGTGGGTTTGCTTATCTCAATGTGTATTCAATCAAGGTGGACTGGGCCAGTTTTACCAGGGCTCTGGCGTTAGGATTGGCTCTCTTGTCCAGGAGGAGTTTGGTTACACGGTAGTGGCCACAGTGAGCAGCAACATGGAGGGCTGTCAGGTAGTCCAGGGTGACATCGTCAACAGGTGCCTTATGCTGTAACAGGTGCTTCACACACTCCACGTGGTCTCCCTGTGCAGCCATGTGAAGTGGAGACAGCCCATTCTGCACAAAACAAAAGAAAATCAAGTCCACATTTTCTTCACTAATTTCAGGTTCTGAAATAGAGCAATATCAGATCTTGATCTTGAAAACAGTGTGACAGGGCAAAATAATTTCCTTTTGCTATCTGAATATATAGCAGATTATATTTGAAAGACAGGCTAAGAGAATATTTAATTTAGTAATTAAACTGTTTTAGGCAAAACATATTAATGTATAACTTTTTTGAATGTATACATGCTACATGTGGCAATTCAGACTTATTTTACAACTACTAGGGTAATATTAGGTATATAAAAATAAGTGATTATCAATGTTTAAATTATTTCTGCTGGTGGACATATTAACATAATGATTAAGCATCCAATCAGCATGTTTGCATCCAATAATGGGGTGCTTGCATTTGAAACCCAACTCTAGCTCCTGATTCCACCTTCCTGCTAAGGTAGACCCTGGGAGATAACTTGGATGGCTCAAGTCAATGGATCCCTGCCACCCATATGAGAGACTTGGTTGAGTTCCCAGCTCCTTGCTAAGGTCTGGCCATTGAGATACAGGAGGATCAGGTTTAGCGTGGAAAAAATATCAGGAAATTTAGTGTGGAGTTGACTAAACTTGAGATACCCAGTAGATATCTGTGGAGCAATGGTGACATTCACACAAGGAACTCTGGAGACATACAGTTGTGTGTCATCAGCCTATAGACACTATTTGAAGAGATTTCAATAACGAGTGCAGCTAGCCAGTGAAATGACACAAAGACCTGGGAGATGACAAGGAACTTAAAGGAAACTCAGAAGCAGAAGCTAGGAAAACAAAAAGAAATCTAGAAGAGGGCAATATGGCATTATTTTGAAAAGAGAGAAGTAAGCAATTGTACCACGTGATTGTAGCAAGAGAAAACATAGACTATTTGGGCTCTGATTTATGTAACTGGATAGATATGAAGGTGGGAGTCCAACAGATTCTGTTCTGGTTGCTTCAGTTTTCTCAGAGTTGTGGAAAGTGAAGAAAGGGAAGTTGGCCAAGTGGCCTGAAGGTAAATTAGAGAACAGTCATGTATTAATGAGAAAGAATAAACAGAATTGGGAAATACAATCTGATATTCCAGCAGCACAAGGAGCTGACTTGATGTTAGTGATCATGAATTTAAAGTGAGCAAGCCAGTGTGTTGGGAGGTTTTTGTAGCCACCACATTCAGGTGCATGAATGTGACCTGAATTTAATCAGAGTGACTATGAATATGTAAGGGAATGGTAGTAACAGCAACATAATGTATGCTGGCAGCAGTGAGAGCATAGGGTGAATGAGGGACAATGTCCCAGCAAAATAAAATAATTTCTGGAATTGAGGTTCTGGAGAGAGTTAGCTGAAGGCAGAGTGGGTATAGAGGGGTTGAGAGTTGAGATTCAGAAATTACAGAGGGTTTACAGTTACTCAGCTGAGATTCCAGCAAGAAGAACCATCTACTGCTCCTAGGAAGACCACTCAAATCACCAAGAACTAAAAAAAGGGCCGTGGTGAGGTCACAGTTTGCTGAGAACTGGAGTTTTCAAAGAAGTAGGGTGAGTGGCACCTAGAGAACTGAACACTCCCTTTGAGGAATTATAATGGCAAGAATAGTCAGGTCTTAAGCACCTCTTTCATTGCTAGGAGAGGGATATCACCTCATTCCCACCTGATCACTTGACAAGTGACTTTAAGAGTCCTTTACAGCCCATGAGACCCATGACGACTCACCTTCGTCCTTGCCAGCAAGGGAGCACCGCGTTCCAACAGAAGTTCCACCACTTGGTCATGCCCACTTCGTGCAGCACAATGAAGTGGTGTCAACCCATCCTGCCAAAGAATTATGGAATTAGGTCCGAGTTCCTTTAAAAAAAATCCAGCTTGCATCCATTGTCAAGTAACGAAGGGGTTCTCTGAACTTCATTCTGATGACTGAATAAATCAGTAAGAATTGCAACAAGCTAAATGGCAGGAAAGGAAACAAGTGAAAGAGAAAACTAGAGAGTGTGGGAGATAGAGGGAGAGAGGGGGAGAGAGAGAAAAGGAGGAAGAGAGAGAGAGAGAGAAATAATGAGAGCAGGGGTGTTCCAAGGTATATTCAGGAAGATGGAAAAGGAGAATATGTTGCATTTGTTGAACTTGAAAGCCCTAAGCACTTGAAACCACAGCTGTGAAATACATTCACTGACCCTGTTTTCATTTTGGCTATACTAACACAACGTTTTCCCAAAAATTTTCTCTTTTTATTTTTTAAAGATTTATTTATTTATTTGAAAGGCAGAGTTACAGAGAGGCACAAGCAGAGAGAGAGAGAGAGAAGTCTTCCATCAGATGCTTCACTCCCCAAGTGGCCACAATGGCTGGAGCTGTACCTATCCAAAACCAGGAGCCTGGAGCTCTTTCCAGGTCTCCCACGCGGGTGCAGGGGCTCAAGGACTTGGGCCATCCTCTACCATCTTTGCATGCCAGAGCAGAGAGCTGGATTAGATGTGTAACAGCTGACGCAAACTGGTGCCCAAATGGGATGCTGGCACTGCAGGAGGCAGCTTTATGGGCTACACCACCGTGTCGGTCCCAAAATCTTCTCTTTTTTAATTTGTCGTTATTCCAAGTATGTTCTCTCTTGAATTGTTACTACTTTCATCAGTTGTCCTAAAATGGTCCCTGATGCTTCTCAAAAGGAAAGTTTGCTTTTTTAGATTATTTTAAAGATTTCCAGGTACCTGACGTGGTGGTACAGTAGGTTAAGCTGCCACTTGCGATATCAGCATCCCATATAGGAGTACTGGTTCCAACCCCAGCTGCTTTGCTTCTCATCTAGATCCTTGTTAAAGTGTCCTGGAAAGCAGCAGAAGATAGCCCAGGTACTACGTTTCCTGCCAGCCATGTCAGAGACCCAGATGGAGGTCTGGGCTCCTGTGTCAGCCTTCCCAGTGCTGGCCATAGCGGCCATCTGGGGAGTAAGCCACAGGTGGAAGATCTCCTGCATTCTATCTCTCCCTGTCTCTCTGTCTCCACTTCTCAAGTAAATAATCTTTAAAAGAATCAACTTGATTAAAAAAAAGATTTCCATATAATAGTTTTCAACATTTAAAAAATTGTGTAATTACTTACCAAAGACAAATTTTAAATATTAATATACAGAATTAAAATTGTCAAAGAAAAATATGGTACAACTGTATGTTGTGGTATTTATAAGACTCTCTAATTTAATACTTCTGGGACAAGGCATGCATTTGGCCTAGCAGGTAAGATGCTCTTTGGGATGCCTGCATCCCATATTGGATTGTCTGGGTTCAAGTCCTGGCCCCATTTCCTCCCACCCTCCACCCTGGGAGAGAGTAGGTGATGGTTCAAGTACATGGGTCCCAGCTACCCATGTGAGAGACTTACTTGGATGAGGTTCTGGGCTCCTGGCTTCAAACTGGCCCAGCCCCAGCTGTTGTGGGCATTTAGAAAGTGAATCAGTGAATGGGAGATTACTCGTGTGTGTGTGTGTGTGTGTGTGTGTTATGTTTCTCAAATAAATTTTTAAAATGTATATATATTCCTAGGGGAGTCCTGGATGCCACAGCAATCCTCAAAGGATTGCCCTCTATCTTTCGTATTTTATTTCTCCTTAGGGTGACATGGTCAAAAATCTAGGGTGAGGGGGTGGTAAATATGAGGCAAAATGTAAGGAACAATGGGCAAGAAGTGGAGAGAGAAAATGAAGTGAAATCCTGAGAACACAAATTACCTCGTAAGTGGAGGTTTAAGGTTAAAAAAAAAAAAAAGATTATCTCAAAAAAAGAGGTTGAGCTACGGGTATTGATCACAGCAAGTGAAGGTGCACAGCAAAGCCTTAGTTGCTAAATAAGTTATGAAACAGCTAGATATCACATGATTTCTCAAGCATATTTTTGGTGAGGTCTCTATCTAAAAGTGCTATGTAGTGAATAGCAGCATTTGATATGAAGGTTTGGTGTATGGGCTCTGGAGTCACAAAGCCCTGGGATGGATCTCAGATCAGACATCATGGGTGAATCTAAGCTCAACTTCATGATAAATGGGGATCATTTCACCCCTATTTAATTTAATTTACATCCTTGTTTGAAAGATGAGGGGGGTCAGTGCTATAGTGTAGTGGGTAAAGCTGCCAAGTGGGGCACCAGCATCACAAATGGGAACAAGTACCAGTTTGAGTTCAAGCTATTCCACTTCCAATCCAGCTCCCTGCTAATTTGCCTGGGAAAGTAGTGGAAGATGTCCGATGTGCTCAGGAACCTACTACTGCCCACGTGGGAGACCCAGAAGAAGTATACACACACACTACAGTTTCTTTATGCAGTCACCAGTTGGACATCTGGGTTGATTCCATATCTTAGCTATTGTGAATTAAGCTGCAATAAATATGGGTGTACAGATAACTCTTTCATATGCTGATTACTTTTCATTAGGTAAATTCCCAGGAGTGGGTTTGCTGGGTCATACGCTATATCTATTTTCAGCTTTATGAAGTCTGTCTATACTGTCTTCCACAATGGCTGTACTAGTTCACATTCCCACCAATAGGGATTAGGGTACATTTTTCCCCACATCCTCACCAGCATTTGTTGTTTGTTGATTTCTGTGTGATAGCTATTCTAATTGGGGTGAGGTGAAATCTCATTGTGGTTTTGATTTGCATTTCCCTGATGGTTAGTGATCCTGAGCATTTTTTCATGTGTCTGTTGGCCACTTAAATTTCTTCTTTTGAAAAATGCCTGCTCAAGTCCTTTGCCCATTTCTTAACTGGATTGTTTGTTTTATTGTTGTTGAATGATTGAGCTCTTTATAGATTTTGGATATTAATCCTTTATCAGTTTTGTAGTTTGCAAATATTTTCTCTCATTCTGTCAGCAGCTTCTTCACTTTGCTGTTGCAGAAACTTCTCAACTTTTCCTAAGCTGTGTGTCCTAGGTCAAGTCACCTAGCTCTACTGAAACTCATTTTTCCCTTCTGGCAGTCTCACTCTCAGAACACCTCTATATTTTCGTATCAAGAAAATAAAACATACTTCCTCAGTTTTTAGGAAGATGAAATAAGGTATTTGTAGAGTACTTGGCAGAGTGCCTTGAGTATTATTTGTGTATGCCAATTGGTAGTTATTATTGTTACTACTTTCATTATTACATCTGCTACTAAATAGCAAGGATGACCCCCTTATCTGATATGTTGCTTTTTCTATCATCCTTTAACGTTTTTATATACTTTCAATGTTTGCATTGAAGTATGTGTTTCAATATTTTAAACACAATCCTTATATGGGGCATCTCTGTATTTAAAAAATAAAGAAGTTTTTTTTTTTTAAAAAAAACAACCTTAATTAAGCTTGAATTAATAATTTCATTTTACTCTGCTATAAAATTTGTGTTTTAACATTAAAAGGAAGTTTTTCAGGTACTAGCAAAGGGCTCTGATAAAAATGTCTCGGTTTCATACCAGATGCTAATCAACCAGCAAGATGCAAAATGTCTCAATGAATGACAGCATCCTAATGAAAGTGGGTGAGAAACTTTAAGTAAGATTTGTTTTTTATTTATCTGAAAGCAGCTGTGGAGCCTACTCTTCTCCAGATGATGAAACCTTGTGAGAACAATAAGAACAAGTAAGCATTCTTGACAGAACATACTAAATTCAGAATGTTTGTTAATTTAATAACTAGGGAAAATTGAAACCTCTTTCAAAAAATGAAAGAATTATATTTATTTCTTAAATTCCATACATAGAAGTTCTATTATATTATCTAAAAGAATAGTCAAAGCAAATTAAACACTTCTACATTTTTAAATATTATTTCAATGTGCAAAAGAATAAACAAAACCCATTCTTTTGTCTTATGGATCAAATATTATGGTTTCAGAATTGACCACTCAATTCCAGAGCAAGGTTTTTGATTTCAGTATACCTACTATTTAATTATGCATTTGGTAAGGGGATATAGCTCTTTTTGTTATAGCAGAATAGGAAGAATATAAACATGCTTTTAAAATCCTACTAAGAGATGAAGAAGTATTCTAATTCACAGATGAAAAAGATCAGTACCATTCAATATTAAACTGTGGAGTTTGGTGGAGCCATTTCTTTTTTCTTTTTTCTTTTTTTTTTTTTTTTTTTTTGACAGGCAGAATTAGTGAGAGAGAGAGAAAGGTCTTCCTTCCGTTGGTTCCCCCCTCAAATGGCTGCTACAGCTGGCACACTGCGCCGATCCAAAGCCAGGAGCCAGGTGCTTTCTCCTGGTCTCCCATGCAGGTGCAGGGCCCAAGCACTTGGGCCATCCTCCACTGCCTTTCCCAGGCCACAGCAGAGAGCTGGACTGGAAGAGGAGCAACCAGGACAGAATCCAGCGCCCCGACTGGGACTAGAACCCAGGGTGCCGGCGCCGCAGACGGAGGATTAGCCTAGTGAGCCGCAGTGCTGGCTTGGAGCCACTTCTTATGAACCAACGAGAGATAATATTTTGCATACCTCTTCTCAATTCTGCATTTAGTAATACTATAATAGTTGCTTTAAATGGACCATGATGAAAATATTTACACCACGGAAACTGGCAAAGAGTTATTTGTTTTATTTTAGATTCTTGTTAAACCTTTTCTCACATACTTCTAACTCAGTCTCTTGGGTACTGTTGACTTGCACCTCTGTAAATCTAGAGACCTATTCTGTCTTGTTAAACGTAGCACCTTCAGGGTTTATGGGACCAAATAGGAACTCAATAGCTATTTGCTTGAATGAATGAACAGAATATGCAAATAATGAATACAATTTGAAAATACATTTTCTCTTTTTAAAATCTTGAATGAAATTCAACTTGCATGCTGTATTTAAAGGCTACACTGGATGAAATATGGTGCAAACATTCTCTTCACAGAAGAAATGAAAGCTTACATTTGGTTTCTAACTTGCTCAACTGGTTAATGATAGAAATAGTATCAGCATCCATTTTTAGTACTATTTTTATGAAAATACACTGCCTAGTTGGAGTTAGAGACTTTTTAATTAGATAAGCAATGTATGTGGGTCATACAAATTACAATATTTTTTTAAAAATCAACCACCTCAGTAATGAACAAATATTCACAAAACATGATTAAAAGATACATGCATCCCTAAAACATTGGCCAAGTTACTTTTTTTTTTTTTTTTTTTGCTTTTACAGAGTACTTTTATTGCCTTGGCAATTCCAAACATTAGAAAATCTCATTGAAGACAGAAAGGTCACTATAAGGGAGAAATTACGAAAGTAATGTACAATAGAGATGTAAAACAACATGTCAGTAATACTGTTAGCAACATGGTGATGAGCAGAAAGTCTTTCCTTTGAATATAACAATTGAGCAAAACATGCAGACATATACATACTGTTCTAAATTCTTCAAATCCACATAATAGCAAAGGAATGGGTATGCCAACAAAGCAAAGGCAGAAAGTGTATAAAACTAATGCAAAAATATCGGACAACACAACAGATATCTTGGCAGATAAAACAAGCAAACCCAGATCTCCCACAAATATCTTAGAGAGATGAAATTATGAAAGTGATATTTCTGAGGTCATTGAAAACAAAAATGTTTTGTCTGGGACTGGTGTAGATTCCAGAAGCTTAAAGATAAGGTTTATTAAATAAAAACATTTGCTAGCCTCAAGATCTGTAAGGGATCTAGATTTGACCCTTATTGTTTGGACTATGAGAACATGAAGTCCCAGAATTAAACAAAGAGGAAACACTTCAAGGGACACATGCTATCTACCATCTTCCGTTGGATATTTATACTACATATTTCAACATTTTTGTATCACAGAAATGTTTGAAGTTTTGCTGAGGCCTGTAGCTAACAAAATATACCCCAGAGATCTAAAATCGAACTGCTAATTATATGTTTAAACAGAAAATTGCATATGTAGTAACATTATAAAAATTTATCAGTAGCTATGAAATTTACCCACTCATTTTTTAAAAAGATAAATATTGTAGCTAAGAGTTATTTATCATTTAACAGTGTTAGGTAGATATTACTATTAGTCCAAGTTCAGAGATGGTAGATAACACAGCTCAGTAAATGGTAAAAGTAGAATTAGAAATCACGTAGTTTGCCTTCAGAGTTTACACTTTTAACAACTGTACTCTATTATCTTTTAATCTATTCATTCTGGGTACATTAAAAACTCAGAATAATATTTTACTTAATAAGTTTGAAACAAATGGGACCAAATGGGACAAATAAATGCACAATATGCCAAACTACATGCTTTTTTCTCATTAAGTGTATTAGCACATCTTCTATTAAAGGTCAGTGTAGCATAAACCCTAAAAATTATTTAGGAATTGAATAGTTAGATAGTTTACATAAAATATTTTATGTAAGTCATCATCTAGTAGCATGGATGGCAATGAGTTTGGGTTTGTGATATTTATAACTACCCAAATAGATGTGTAAGTCCAATCTTTGATCTTTGTTTCCAGAAATCCAATAAGCAAAGACTTGAAAATCTATCTCACTGAGGGTTAGCATTCTGTTTCTCTGTGTATCTATGAGCAAATATAATCTCATTTTATAATGTGAAGCCTTTAAATATTGTATGACATTTAAACAAATCTAAAAAAGCTATTTCTTTGGGAACATACTGTCTATGATTACTCACTATAGCTACCTGGGAAGAGATTCCAAAGATATAATAAAGGCAAGAAATTGAAAAAACAGAGACACTCACCCTAGTTTTGGCATCAATTTGACCACCTCGATCCAGTAAGAGCTTCACCATGTTTGTGTTTCCTCTCTTTGAAGCCACGTGCAGAGGAGTGATTCCATTCTACATCATGGAAAGACCAAACAAGAGCATGCTGGGTATGACAGGGCACGATGAAGATGACTTTGTGTTGAAGAAGACAGTAATGTGACTCATGGTTTCTATGGTCTCAACGTCTTTGAATTTTAAGGGATAAATAAGCACATAAGCCACAAAGCACTATAGTTAGAGGATGAAAAACTGGAAATCACGTAAGTAAATTAGTCATAGCTGCAATAACTGTATGGAGTGTACACATTACAGTCAAGAGACAAAGGAAGCAGTTTTGCATAGTGCAAACAAAATTTCAAATTCTACCTAAAATATAAGCCTGGTGTAAAGTTTTTCTTTCTCTCACATCTATGCACTTAAAAAGTCTGAGGTCTTAGCTTTCTTCATGGGCATGTCTACCTCAGAAAAACCACTACCAGAACATGCTTGTGACTACAGACTTCTAGTTTAGGCCACTGAAGATTAAAGATGGGACTTGAGCACCACCTTGACTTGTATCCTCTGTTCTGCTTTAACAAAAACCAGGAGGAAAAGAAAGCTAGGCATCAGAAGCAATGTAAAGATAGGTGGCAGGCCTATTATAGGCTGCTCCATACAGTGATCTGCCATCAAGTAGACCCAGCAGGCCAGTCCACTGCAGTGGCCTTCAATATGGTAAGCCTGGGCTTCAGCAGAAGTCAGCTTATGAAGAGCCCTGGCAGCTCTGCCAGACAAGAGTTGGATCACTGGAAATGGAACTGCCCTGGAGTCAAAGGACTTCAGGTCAGAGCCACGGACCTTGCTGGCTGCAAGCTGAAAAGCCCTTCACTTGGCTCAGCTTCCAAAGTGACCACCGTTGCAGAGGGGATGGCCAAGTAGGGTCAGTAACATTGCAGGCAGAACTGTAAATTTCCTGTTAGAGTTGCCACCTGCCTTTACCTGGCCAGCTCTCCTCTCAGGCCCGCTAGGTAATGGAAGTCAACAGGGTGCCTTCCCCAGGAAGTTCACACCTCCCTTATGATGTACCCGACCCACCAGATTATTATTAAGCCCCTTCTGTCAGGTTCTATTTGCCTCTCAATCAGAAAACTTAGTTGTGGCTTAGACAGCACCTTTCTTAGGCCCTCTAATAATTACTCTGTCCTTTCTATCTAGCCCCTTGGGCCTCATACCTTTATAATCATAGCCTCTACTCTTACATCAACGGCTCTACTCCCAACCTGTGTGTATTGATGGTCCTCTCCTCCACTTAATGATGTATAATTGTTCAGAATTTCTCTACAGACAGACTCCTCTACCTGCAAAAGTTAAGTGGCCTTTCTCCCAGTCTTGGTTGACATCAGCTTTAAACCACATCCATCAAACTGTCCTCACAAGGGTCCAGAGACCCCCCCACCCCCGTCTTTTCCTCTCTCTATGAAATCATCTTATTACCTGGTTAATGCCACTCTCAGGATCATTGGTTGCTATTTTCACCCTGACTTTTATAATACAGTGTCTGTTTAAATGTTTACAGCTAGTGATAATGGAACGAACCAAGGCCTTCAGCAAGCAGGTGGTGAACCAAATGCTGCTACATGGATATACTTGGCTCCCCACCCAGGAGACAGAGGCTTGAGACATAGCCCCAATCCAGCGAAGAGTACCTCATCGCCCCATGTCAGCAGGAAGTAGCTCTAAAGACAGGTCATCATCCCTCTACCCCTCCTGAACTTTTGGGACTAATGTAATCCCATACAACTCCTGCTTTATAAAAAATGGGGGAATTTAGGAAAATGGTGCAATTTTATCTATGGTGTGATCTACACCCTGACACCATCCTAGGATCTAGCCCCAGCTGCTATTGCTGGAAGCCACATGGCCCAACCACCAGTGTCAAGCTCCACCCTCATCCTAATGGGATTCGCTGCTCCTGCTTCCCTGCCCGTCCTCTGACAAAGTTTCAAAAGGACCTGCTCCTGAAAATGTGGTACTCTGCTCTCTCTTGCTTCCCTCTCTCCTCTCTCTGGGCTCCTCTCTTCTCTCTCTCCTCTCTCCTCTCTTCTCTCTCTCTCTCTCTCTCTCTCTCTCTCTCCTTTTCTCTGTTACACTCTCCTCTCTTTTTCCTTCCTTGCCCCTTCCCTCTGGCCTGCTGGGTTTTCCCCAATAAGCTTTTTCCCTTAAAAAAAACTAACAAAAAAAAGTCTGAGGTCTTAAAGTTTTCTATGCTTAAAATAGAATATGAATAGACATAGCAATACTCAGTGAAGAAATTATCCTTAAAAGCATCTTCAGAAAATAATTCAGTAAGAAAAAAGAAAGTAGCACAATTTTCACAATTTTAATGAAGCAAACTTCAAGGTACAAAAATACCACACAGATTAATTACATTTATTTAATTTGTTATCATGTCATTAAGAAAAAGATGTATGCCTGATTTTTTGTGTTGTTCAAATACTCAAATACTGCTGATTCATATTAAGTACCCTGAGCTGCATAATTATCATAGAAGTGAATTCTTTCCAGTAGACGCAGATCATTAACCTATAACTCAACATGATGTCTTTGGATGTGTTTTTAGTAAGATGCTTCATATGAACAAATTTCCAATTCACTAAAAAATTCCTGTCAAAGTGTATGTCTTATAATCATTATAAGGTAAGCTATATATGTTTTCTGTATTTGATGTTCTAACAGTTGTGTTGCTTATAGACTTGAAGTTGCACATTCACATTTTATGGCATGATCTTTAGCTATAACTTCAACATGAAGGTAGAATTTATAGCCTTCTTAACCACAGCAAGTGATTTGTGTGCCTGTGAATCTACAACAGTCTTGTTTTTCACTTGTTGACAACTTCCTGTGATTTGAAGGAAAAAACTCGGGGACTCTAGTATCCTTAGCACAGATCAAGAAAGGAAAAAGAAGTGAAACCTGTAAGAAAACCATTGGAATTCAGTTCTACTTTCTTAACATACTCACTGCTATCCCTACTGAGAAATTATTTAAATCCATACCCTGGCTGTGAAGTCCACAGCAGCTCCACGATTTAGAAGCAGAGTTGCCACATTGACATTTCCATAGTGTGCAGCTATGTGCAAAGGGGTAAAACCACTCTACAGAAAGCAAAGAAATAAGTGTCAGTCAAACTTTTAAAGTCTATGACACAGTCACTGATTCAGTAACAAAATCACATAGTAACTATCCACCTAGTACAAGTACAACACAATTCAGATGATAAATGCTTTAATAAGACTGTTTAAATTTTAGTGTTATAAAGTGGGAAATAGCTAATTATATAACAAAGCAAATAAATATCCTACCGTTATTGGCAACACTATTTTTAATTACCTTATCTATTTATTATATTTTTCATTTATACAAAGCCATGTATCTTGAGTTGGCTTAGTATATTATAGAAAAACAGAATATGATTAAACAACATAAGATTTCAGTCTTAGGATTAACAACAAAATTACAACTGTTTACTCAGAGAAAGATTAAAAGTCAGTTTTTTGTTTTGCTTTGTTTAAACAAAAACAGCATTGGTTAGCATTGTATCTTGGGAACTATGAAAATATGCTGGAAAAATCTTATAAATTATATACAATTTATTACACATCACTTATAATCATGAAATGTCTATCCATTTTCATAACTTAGACTTTGTTGTTACAATAAAAAAGAACTAAATTAACCCAAAGATTAAATAAGGTATTGGCATCAATATGAAAATAAAATAAAAACATGCAGCTTAATCCAATTTTTAATGTTAATTAAACCAAATTTTAACAATAAGGTATGAACCAACCAGGTTAAATCATTTATGTGGATAATTGAGAACTGTTTACTCTCAAAATGTTTAAAAAATGAGTCTTAAATCTTTTAATAAAAAAATTTCTTTTCATTTATTTTTATGAAAATTGTTATATATTTTTACATTTTCACAATAGAAGTATATTAACTCTTTTCTAACTAAACCTCACAAGTGTGTCTAAGGGGTATTCAAAAAGTTCATGAAAAATTGTATTATAAAAAAAATGCATGGATTTCAAAATGTTTTTATACTCAAGTGTGAATAAACTTGTCTGTCTTTGTTTTGAGAAGCAGATAGAGAGATAAACAGATAGACATAGAGAAAGCACTCCAATCCACTGGTATACTCCCCAAATGTCTCTCCAAAGACCAGCACTGTGCCCGGCCAGAGCCAGGAGCCAAGAATTCAATCCAGGTCCCCCAAGCTGATAGCAGGAATTCAATTACCAGGACCATCATGGCTGCTTCCCAATGTCTGCACAAGCCAGAAGCTGGAGCTGTGTGCCGAAGCCAGACACTGATCACAGGTGGGACACTGGCCTCTCAACCACTAAATCAAGCACCTGCTTCAAGTAAACTTACCAACTAATTTCATTTTCCACAAACTTTTTGAAGTTCCCTAAATTACCTAATATATGCCCCTGTTTTCTATTTTTTCACTACTTAATAAAAGATAATGGAGGGCCCGGCGCAGTGGCTCACTTGGTTAACCCTCCGCCTGCTGCGCTGGCATCCCATATGGGCACCAGGTTCTAGTCCCACTTGCCCCTCTTCCAGTCCAGCTCCCTGCTGTGGCCCAGGAGGGCAGTGGAGGATGGCCCAAGTGTTTGGGCCCTGCACCCCATGGGAGACCGGGAGGAAGCGCCTGGCTCCTGGCTTCAGATTGGCGCAGCGCACCGGCCGTGGCGGCCATTTGGGAGGTGAACCAATGGAAGGAAGACCTTTCTGTCTGTCTCTCTCTCTCACTGCCTGTAACTCTACCTGTCAATAAACAAATAAAAAATCTTAAAAAAAAAAAAATGAAAGATAATGGAGAAAAAAGACCATTGATTATCATATCCTTCAATTTTCAGGTTATTTTGTATTATTCTATTGTACTTGAAATGTGATGTATATGAGATTATATTTTAATACATATTTTCTAAACTATAACCATTGTTATAGTTTATAAGCTATAACATAAGCATTGACTTAATATACAGGCTTTGGCAATTTCATTTTTAAAATGTCCCACATAAGCATTTATATAATTTAGGTAAGAAATTTTCCTATGTCATCATCAACATTAGCTGTAAATAATTCCTGAGTGTAGAGAATAAAACATAAAATAAGAATAATAGTTATCAATCCAGATGCCACAACTGTAGTCAAGATATTTTTATTTTGAATCTATGTGATACCAAACATTCACAGCAGAATGGAAGGAAGATCAGTCCATAAGATGGCGATTATCTTATCAAATGACAAAATTTTATATTTCAGGAAATAATTGACTGTTTTTTTCTTTTTTTTTTCATTTTTATCTTCATATTTCCTGTCATCCAGACACAGCTTGAATGCATGCCTGTTATTCAAGTTTCAATTTAATTTTAGGAAAACATATTGACTGCTGCTGGGTTATTTTCAAATATTTCAAATCAAATACAGTTATTATTTTTCTGATTTGCAAAGATAAATTAAGTTATGATCTGACAGCCTCATTGCCCATCTGGGATAATGCCTCAGAATGTGAGCCCTCTCTATAAAACTCTGCTCCAATTAGTATGGAAGTAGGGATGGAGGGGTTTCCTTCATTGTTATTCAATTGTCTTTAAAGGACTCTTTAAAACTCAGTGAGTAGTGAATATCCACCCTAACGGCTGCTTTTACCACAATATTTATAGACAATATTATTTCTAAAAAATTTATTTTAATCACTAAGGAGCACCTAAGATTTAAAGGTATTAAAATGAGTAATTAAGATCAATGTAAATGGTTTCAGTCCTGAGAAATTTCACTAAGCCATTGGGTTCTCCCCCACTCAGGTTTGGTTGTTTGTTTGGAGGGGTCTCTAACTTAGATTCCATGCACATATAAGGGATAAAAGAAATGACATGAATAACATATTGACATCTCAATAGGTAAATGAGTTACTAAGAAAGATATCAGTTTTAAAAACATATGACTCTCAGTAAAAACTCAAATGCAAATGTTCAAAGGTCCACCATTCCCCCATGACAACACACTGATCAAATGAGGTGTGAGTCTAAAGAACCCCTCATCAGAGTAAGCATACTACATAGTCTCTTGCCTTTGACAGTTTGCTAATTTTTCTACTGCAGAGTTTCAGCAGTGTTTGTGTCAGCATTTCTCTGTAGCAATGGTCAAGGAGCAATCGTGTGCATCTGTACACACAGTTATACGTGCACACGCCCTACAGAGAGGCTTGGGAACTTAATGTGCTTGTGGACTGATGTGCTGTATTTTGGTATGTGGAAATAGATGATTTCATGACAAGAACTAAAGACTTGCAGGAAAAAACAACGGCTTTGTTTATGTATGCTCAATGCCATTATTAATTAAATACAATGTGGTAAAGAAAAAACAGCACACAGGAAAACAAAAGAGCAACTGCCATCAGATAAAAACATAAAACATGGTGGCACAGAAATCACCCTAATTTCACTTTTCTAAGTTTTACTCTGAGATTTCTCATTTAGAAAACAAGATACCACTTCTCTTTGCAAAAAGTTAATAGTAAAGCTCATTCATTAAAATACATATTAAGAAGGAATTTCATTTCAGGCTCTACTCTAACAAAATACTTAAATAGTTTCACCAATTAAATAATGCTTCAAATATATGTTACATTAAATATATTTGAATTATCAATTTGCCTTAACTACGGGAAAATTTTCCAAATCAATTTTCCATTAATGGAATTTCTATTCATTAGTATGAATTAGTGAGCATTTTTCTAATTGGGTAGAAACAAAAAAATAAGTTAAAAAAAAAGGCAAATTTTGGTATAACCACAATACTATACCTCTGTTGTCCTATTCACCATCATCTGAAGCAGTGTGGGGTAGAAAAAGAGGGAAGATATTACACAATGCAAAATTAAGGAAACAGTCTGCTCCCTGCAACTGGGTATACTATTCCAGCATGCCAAAACACATTCTAGCAAGAAAAGACGTCCCAAAACACTGCACAATACACTTTTCTTTTCTAGTTCTTTTTCTATTATTTATGGCTATAAACAGAATAAGGAAGTAGATTTCTAACATTTTGAACCCCATTTTTAAAGAAAATTATCTTGCATTTCATTTTTTTTGTTACTGTCCCCAACAGAAAGTCCCCTTCTTTCTGAAATACCTCTGAAAAATCATTGATTTCTTTTCATGACCAGAAGTAATTTTGCATTATCACCACGGCCTACTTCTTTATCATTCCCCAGGAGGACTTGGGCAGCCGGAGAGCGCCTTTCCACAAATGTGTTCAGCTTTTACCTTGGATTGTACGTCAGCATTGTGATCGTTCTGAAGCAGGAGTGCGGCAGATTTGGTGTCATCTTTCCTAGCTGCAATATGCAGGGCTGGCAGCCTGACTTTTCCTTTGGTGTCATTCTCCAAGAGGATGGCCACTGCCTGGTTATGTCCTTGCTGGAGCGCCACAGCTAGAGGAGTAAAGCCATCCTGGAAAACAGAAGGGAAGACTCTCCTGCTAACTTCTGGATATGTGGAATTTAACTCCATGCAGTGGTGCCTCTTGTTTTTAAAGTAGTGATCAAGAGAGACAAGCAAAATGATGAAATATTACTGTGAAAATCAGAAGCATATTACAGCTAGCTACTTGCCATACTGCACACAAGTTTAAGCAAATTGCTGTCCTAATTTCTAGTCTATATATTTTGAAAAACATCCTAACCAAACATATTGCACAAAGAGTGTGCCTCATATATATGTTTAGAATGAGAAAATAAAGAAAAGGATAATCCTAACTAATGCCTGCTATGTAAAGGAAAAAGTAGAAAGGAATAAGGAATGGAAACCAAATCTGAATCAATGATATATAATTTTTAAAAGATAAATGCAAATTTTCGAGGGAAATTACTTTTCTTCAAGTTATTCATATCACGAATGCACTATAAACTGTAATAAGAACTTAATTTTTCTTTTAGAAAAATCTTTTTCTTTTGGGATTTTAAACATTTACTTAACAGAATGGAAGAGTAAAGCATGTATTATCTTAACACAAAAAATGGCTTAGATTTAGGAACTTGTTTAGCACCAAATAAGTACTCTGTGAATGAGTAGAGCACAGACTTGTTATCATTTACATATTTAATCTTTATTAGCACTACAACACTGTGATAGTTAATATTAAAAGGGTGTATTTTTAATAAAAATTATTTATATGAAGGGAACAAATTTCATGTATTTCATATATACAGTTTGAACACCATAATGATACTTCCCACCTTACCCTCTTCCCTCCCTCTCTAACTTCCTCCCTTCTTTTTCTTTTCTTATTTTCTTTTAATTTTCACAAGAACATACTTTCTACCTACTTTATAATCACAAGCTTAACCTCCACTAAATAAAGAATTCAATAAGTAGTAAGTAGAAAAACCACTGTTCCTTAAGAGTATAGATAGGGCTAAAAGCAATCATCAAATCTCAAAATATCAATTTTGCTCATATTCATCACACTTTTTTGTACTCTGTATATTATCACAAATAAGGGGCAATATAAGATATTTGTATTTTGGGGGATTGGATTATTTCACTAAGCATTATGGTCTCAAATTTCATCCATTTGGTAACAAAAGACATGATTTCATTATTTTTTATGGCTGAGTAGTATTCCATCATTTATTTCTACCACAATTTTTCATCGAGTCATCAGTTGATGGATATCTAAGTTGCTTGCATATCTTAGCTATTGAAAAGTATGCATTTTATTAATTTTTTTAGAGATGAGGCATTTGCTTATAGAACAGAACCTCACTAAAAAGTTTGTTGTAACTTTCAGGAAGAAGAAAAGTAGAGTAAAATAAAAGTATAAAAGTGATATTGGAGGGACAGGGAAGTACTTTCAGAGAATGTAACTTTAGATCTCTACCATGTGGATTTCTTTCTAGTCTATATTGATGGTAGAAGACTGAATATTAGCAATGCTTAATTCAAGGAACGTAAAGAATTCTATGAAAGGAAACCCTCAATAAAGTTCAATAGCTTCATTTTCCATCATTAATTTACCTCTGTTGATTGCTATAAGGTACTTTATAACTTTAAGTATTTCTTCTCCAACATGGTTTTCATTGCCATACTGAGCAGTCCCGTAATGATCTGATTTTTAAAGTGGGCATAATGTCTTGATTACTTGATTACTTGGCTGTTGCAAAGCAGGGCCACCAAACAGTTCAGGGTAAGAGCCTTCTTAAAGTATATACACACATGTGCTCATGAGACTATTATGAAATATTTAGCAATATAACACAGAAAATCAAATGGCAACCAACCATATAGCACTGTAAATACTTTAGAGTTGTTATTTTTTAGAGTAATTCACTTAAAAGATTTGTGCATATGTGTGTTTCTGGATAACAATTAAGGCTGGTGGCATTTTAATTAAGTTGATATACACTCCATTAGGGGAAATTAGTTTTAAACATTTTAATATTTTTTAAAAATGAAACAGGTGATTAGTACATGTGCCTACGCTAGATGGTCTACTACTTGAACTCTGGAACATAACATGATTGAAAACATTCTGGAAGATCAGGCTAAATCAATAATTTTGCACACAATAGTCAAATTTTATATAATTTAGATCATTAATATATAAAATTACATGTAGTGGGTGATATAAAAGAACTAGCCCTAACCCTAAACTCTAAATCCTAACTTTATCTGGCTCATTTGCACAGGGTCTGAAAGGCTCCAGAGGGCAGACCAAGGAGGCCTGAGACAGCTGAGAATGCCAGAGAGCTGCATCCCCTAAACCACAACTAGAAACTGTGTCTATCTGGTGAGTGAAAGAACTTTGCTGTAAAGGTTTCACCTGGCATATCTTTCTGCCGTCAAGGAAATAAACAAGCTATAGAATTGCTTTTCATGGCACAGTCCTCACGGCTCTGGGTTCAGAGGTACAGTTTCATATTGTTGCTCAAGCTGTGTTTGCAGGTGCTCACATGCTACTCAGGAAGAGAATTAGTGTCTCTGGGGGTAAAGGGCCCCAAATCATAAAAATCACATTATATTCATGTGGCAAGAGTGTGAAGCCTGTGTGTGCCAGATAGAGAACATGAAATCATTTCATATTGGGTAAATGTGTTTTTCAATCATCAGCAGAACATGTCTCATTAGTAGTAATTTCTTGGCATTTTTTTCAAACAAATGAGAATAACTATCAAAAACTTACTGTGATTGACACCATGAAAAGCGTTATCTCACAAAGGGACTGTCAATAGGTTGAGTAAAGTTTTAATGACCTCTCCTTCCAATGCAGCTGAGGAGGGAGTTTATGCTTATTTCAACTAAAGAACTTCATTGTCCAGAAAGGAAGCCACTTTAAATATCAAAAATTTTCAGGCCATTTCTGGATTACTAGCACCAGTATCCATCTTTCACCCAGGCCAGGAGTTGTAAAATTTTTTCAGTGGGGTCGCATAATACAAGAGGAAGACTATAGCTTGCATACTCTGGTTGAAAGAGGTGAGGGGGGCATACTTATGCAGCTCATTACCACTCCTCTACTGTGTTTCCCACTCCTAAGCCGTTGAAGGCCTCAAAGCATTTTCTTCTAGCTCACGAGCTATTAGAGAGTCCCTTAAAAATCATTGCTGTGGCCAATCACTGAACCTGCTCCTAGATCTGCCTGAGGAAAAATGAGAAGAAAAACTGGAGGGGTCTTCAGCATGTTTTTGGAAATGTGTATTAAGGAAAAACTATGCAGGGATTTCAAACTGTTTTTGCACTAAAATATGATTGACACTAAATACTAATCACTTAATTCCATTTTCAGAGAACTTCTTAAAGTACCCTCATACAAACCAAGTTCTTAGGTGAACATGCATAGGCAGGACAGTAATGTTCTAAGGGCCCCTGTGTGATCCAACTCCTTCAACATGATCTGAAGTCTTTGCAACTGGAGTAACTGTGAACAATCCATTCAGTTGTTGCCATATTGTGGTCACACAATCATGAATCATAATTCATGTTTCAATATGAACAGATATTTTAGTAACAAAGTCCTCTTGAAATTATATTAACAACTTATGAATTTTTTCTAAAGGTTAAAAATTGTTACCTTAAGAGATTATATGAGATTCCAACAGATAAAAATATCAATGAAAAGAAATAGGTAGAACTTACTGTAATGTAATTTTAGAAGGCTATAAAGCTCCCTAAACCTAGAGTATGGCAAAGTGATGGAAACATGACTTCATCTAAGAATAAGTTGATACAAATCTAAATGAAGGCACAAATTCATGGAGCCATGTACACAAGCCTGGGGCATTGGTTCAGGGCCACTGATGTAGTTTGTAATAATAACATGAACTTCCCTAGCATATGTCAGACAAGCAAGCAGAGATCATTTACAGATGAGTTTAAAGAAAACAGACAATAAGATCACAGAACTTGAGACTAGGGCTAGCAGTCTTACCTCTGTAGCAGTGCTCTGATTAGCTCCATTTTCCAGTAAGTATTTTACAACATCGATGTGGTTCTCTTGGGCAGCCATATATAAAGGAGTAAAGCCATTCTGTGGACAAGCAATCAAAAAGATGACAGCTTCGACCATTTGTAAAGTTTTGACCAGTCAACAATATAATACAGGAAAAAAACTATAAAGTAAACTTTTAAAATGGTGAAGCTATATGAGGTGTTCTCACACTGAAACAATGATCTGCGTATTTACTGTAGTAAAACTAGACAAAATTGTAGAGAACGAGTTCCCATACATAATTCCTAAAGGAGGAAATTATGAGATAGAGGACATAGGGGAGAAATATTTCCTTAATTTTCTATCTTCATTTCAGTGCCAGGGATTCACATTTTTCCTCACCCAACACTTTGCTGGACTACAGTTCTCTTAATATCTGTAGCACATTTAGCATCTGAATATCTATATAGTCCGATCATCTATAGAACTCTCCTTACATATAGTGTAAGTGTAAAGTAGTACCTATATAATGAAAACATTATCTGTATTTATTAATTCATAAATATTGAAACAGACTACCATTATCTTGAATATGTACAGGTTGGTTAGCACCCTTAGTGATACACATTATTTATACCAGAAAAGTTGCAGAAAGATCATTGAGGTGGTATGCTTTATGATTAGCATCTTCATGCTATTTATAAGAAGTCATTCTGAAATTCTATCATTCATTTTCACATTCATTTATTTACTAAAATCCTTCCATTTGTAGGTAGTGCATCACTGAGAAAAATCAGACAGGTACATGCATCCCATGGAGCACAGACCATTGTAATACTAAAACATTATTATGTAGTCATACTCAAAAATTCTCTGAAATTTTATAACATGAGTTTAACACTAAGTTTAAGTTGCCAGTTTTTCCTTTCATTAGATGCTTAGGAATGTGTAATACATTTTTATGGAAAAAATCTCACAAATCTTTATAAAAAAGAAAACCTGTGAAACAAGTCATAAACTCTCAAAATGTAACAATTCTTTCAAAACTATGCCAGAGTCTTTAAACATAAATGATTATTCTCTCAAATTTTCCATGCATGAATGAGAATCATAGATGAGAGTTCAGGGATTTTTAAAACATTTATAAGAGGAGAAAAATGGGTTTTTTGAAATACAGTTTAACAAATCCTTCATTGCATAATATGGAAACATTATTCAAAATGGCCATGATTCAACAAAATATAAATACAGGGTATACAAATAAACTGAGCAAATAAAGTCATGTTTAAATTCAATTATAAAATAAAATCTGCAGGCTTCAAATGGTGGAGAAAATTTTAAAACTAAAGGAGAAATATTATAAGAGGAATGAATTAACAATGTTGTAGGATTCAAGAATAAATTGCTAGCTGGATAGCATATTTTTAAAAACACAGCAATCAGGTGAAGTCTGTATATTTAAAGAACACTGAAGAGGTGGCGGAAGGATGGAATTAGAGATTCAAAGGAAGGGAAAGCCAGAGAAGATGGTGAAAAACAATGAGTGGGTGTGGAATGGGGTTCTTTCATGACAAGTAAAAGGCAGGCATGCATTAAGAGAAAAAGAGCTTCTAAAAGAGTAAACCAATTTGCTAACATGCTCTCCTGTGATAGAATCTGTGGATAAATCAGAAAAATGGGGGAATATATACAGGTTGCCAGGTCAGCAGGGGAAGGAGCTGTACCATCCTTAGGCCACTGCGTAAGAAATTCCCTGCCTTGGGTCCTTAGCAGTAGAGGGATCTCCTCTGGCTCAGCAGGGCACAGATCCCGGGGACAGCAAGGACATGCCTGCCTGACCCCACAGGTTCCTGGCTTGAAGATCATGCACCAAGCAGCCAACTTCCCAGAATCCCTGCCTAATGTCACCAAGTGTGCTTCCAATGCTCACCCAGACTTCTTTGCCACCCTCTGAAGAGTACGTCGGTTTATAAAGCTTTTGGTAGGCTGAATAATGCCTCCCATATAAATCTACATCCTAATCTCTGGGACTTATAATTATTACTTTATACAAGAACAGGAATTTTGGAGGTCTGATTAAGGTAAAGATCTTGCAGTGGGGAGATTATCCAATTGGACTTCATGTAATCACAAAGATCTTTGAAACAGGGAGGCAGGAGTTCAGAAAGGAAAGAAGATGCTGTAATCTTGCTTCTAAAGATGGAGAAGGGGCCATGATCCAAGGAATGCAGATCTAGAAGCTGGAAGAAGCAAGGAAATGGATTCTCACTACAGCCTTCGTAAGGACACAGCAATGCCAGTATCTTGCCTTTCTCATTGTAACACTAATACAAAACTATGAAAAATAAATTAGGGTTTGTTTCAAGCCACTGAGTTTATAATAATTTGTTACAGCAGCAATAGGAATCGAATACACATCACTTGAGTTCTGCTGGGGAGGATGTGAGTAGACAACCACAGCTTCAACACGCTCAGGTTGTGCTGCCCACATTCACATGTGATGCTCCTGTGGAGTGGATGGAGACAACAGTGGAGTGATAAGGGGGGCTAGCTGTAGGCCAGGGACCCAGGACCAGCAATTCTCTCACCACAGTCCTGTGGGAAACTCCAGGGAGCCCAAGTTTAAATTTGGACCTGTCATGTGGCTATGAAGATATATTTATTAATGTTGGACATGCCAGTTTGTTATGTTAGCTTGATAAATAAGGGGTCTTCAAAAAAGTTCATGGACAAGGCACATTGCAAGAAAACTACACAAATTTCCACATTTCAATTTTGGTACCAAAATAAATAGTTTTAAGTCTAGATTTCCATGAATTTTTTGAAGCACCTTCATATAGCTTTCAATTTTCAAACAGATATTGTATTCTTTTGCACTCTTGTCCTGGTACCTGCAAGTGCCGCAGCTGGGATGGTGGGGTAGAGGAGAAAATATCCAGGCTTACAATACATGGCATACAAGTGTGACAGGGCCATTGTAAACTAGCATCCAGCCTCTTGATAAGGGCACGTCAGGAATACCATTTATGTGCCCTGTACCATAACACTGATGTGTGAGGGCTTCCCACAGAGGAGGGGAGCAAATATGACAAATAACAGAAATGAAAATGACGGATCTTCAGCTGTATGTTACTGCTGTGAGAAATGTTTTGAATATATTCCCACAAATTATAGTGGTTACATGTCCTGCTTTGTCTGGGATAGCCTGATATATGCATAGTAGCCTAGAGAAATTATTACAGCATCTCAGTTTTGATGTCAAATGACCTAATAACTTCAAACACCGCTGCAACATTGATATGGTGATCCTCATTGAAACTGAAGCAGATGAGGCTCAAAGACTTAGGCGGCACCACCAAAGGCTCATAGCTAATGTAGTGAACTGGGAGTGCCAGTTCTTCCTGGAAGGGAGGTGGGGCTTTAACCTGTAAATGAATCCTCAGCCTGGCTATGTGATGGAATCTTTTGTAGAAACTGTTAAGAATATCTAGGAACTATCCTACCACGCTGCCCTACTTCACTGGAGTCTCACATGCAAAACCCACGTCCATGCATTCTTTAAACACTCATGTTCTGAAATTCCCTTTAGGTGTTTACTATAGGGTATGCAGAACAGCTGAATGGTTTGGGGTAGGGAGTGCCACAGACATATTTGCATTTCAGAAAATTCATTCTGGTGAAAACAGAATGCTTGGCTGGTAGGAGACAAGAAAGGAAGTACGGACTTAGCATGAAGGAAACATGAGCCAAGATACCTTGGCTAGGAGATAAGGCAGCTGCTGATTGTCACAAGATGTGTGAGGTAAGGCAATAAACATTTACTACAAGTCCTAAAGGTATGCAGATTATTCTTTCCTAATTTGTTGCTAATTAGTCAAAAATAGCCCAAGTGAGACTGTAAATCATGCCTCTGGGTAAGTAGAAAAGGCATCAAGCACTGTGGCATAATAGGTTAAGCATCTGCCTGCAGTGCCAGTATCCCATTTGGGTACTGTTTCAAGTCCAGGTTACTCCACTTCCCATCCAGCTCCCTGCTGATGACCTGGGAAAGCAGTATTAGCTGGCCCAGGTGCTTGGGGCCCTATACCCATGTAGGAGACCCAGAGGAATCTTTGGATCAGCCCAGCTCAGGATGTTGTGGCCATTCGGGGAGTAAACCAGCAAATGGAAGACCTCTCTGTCTCGCCCTCTCTCTGTCTGTAACTACTCAGTGAACACATTTTACATGTGTAATATTATACATATGTTTATTTTTTAAATCATACATTAGATATAAAGAGAACATAGGTGAGAGAGAAGCCAACTGGATAAGTAAATTATATATATATATTTCTTTTTACAGGCAGAGTGGACAGTGAGAGAGACAGAGAGAAAGGTCTTCCTTTTCTGTTGGTTCACCCCTCAGTGGCCACTGAGGCTGGCGCACTGCAACCGGCGCTCCATGCTGATCGGAAGCCGGGAGCCAGGTGCTTCTCCTGATCTCCCATGCGGGTGCAGGGCCCAAGCACTTAGACCATCCTCCACTGTTAGGAAACTGGCGCAGTTGTAGCCAGGTGGCCGCATGGCCCAGCTACCTGAGCCAGGCTCCACCCCCATCCTAATGGGATTCGCTGCTCCTGCTTCCCTGCCCGCCCTCAGGCAAAGTTTTAAAAGGGCCTGTTCCTGAACACATGCTCTCTTGCCCCTTCTCTCCTGCTCTCTCTCTCGGTTCCTCTCTCCAGCCTCCTCCTCTGGTCTCTTGGCTCTGCTCTCCTCTCTCCTCTTCTCTGCTCTCTCTTCTCTCCTTGCTAGCTCTTCTCCTCTCTCTCTCTCTTACAGTCTCCCTCTCTTTTTCCTTCGCCGCCCCTTCACTCCGGTCTGTAGGGTGTTCCCCAATAAACCCTTTCCCTTTCTCCGGTGTCCGGTGTGCTTTGCAATGGCTAACATTAAGATATAACATCCACTGCACTCCTGGGCCACGGCAGAGAGCTGGACTGGAAGAGGAGCAACCGGGACAGAATCCGGCGCCCCGACGGGGACTAGAACCCGGTGTGCCAGTGCTGCAGGCGGAGGATTAGCCTATTGAGCCGCGGCGCCGGCCAGTAATTATATTTGAAGGA